GGCTCAGTTCTAATGAAGAAAGAGTTCAATACAGTGGGGATGCATCCTCTCCGTGGTCCCATTCATCCTGGGGGCAGCTGTTCTGACCACTTCCTGCATCAGTGACTCCCCTCTGTGACTGTTGTTCTTTGTGGAAGGTGATTCTTCCTAGGAAATAGGACAAGGCAGGGTACCCAGAGACGTGGTGCCACAATCCTTCTTTTGGTCCCAAAACCTACCAAGGGGCTTTTGACACATCTGACATGTACTCTGGGACTCAGTTTATCCATAAAGTGGAGTTAACAGAGCCGCCCACGGTTCTTCATACAAAATTAAATGTGCAGTGGCTATAAATGTCTGCATATTCCTGGAAGAATATGATGCTATAATTGTGATTGTCTCCAAGCAAGATGCTTTCTTGAGTTTAATTCTTCTTGCTGGAAGAGAAGAATTGACATACTATTGGCTTCTAAAGTGAACTTGAACCCTGAAGCCACCATCTGGACAAGGACTTGTAGCTATGCTGGGAGCCAACTGGGACACTTGTTCTAGATGAATCTAACATCTTGTACACATGTGAAGTAATGATTCACACATTGCAGCTCTCCCCTCCATGGTGACTCTAGCACTTTACTTCTCAACTGAACTCATTGACATCCCCACCCAGTTTCTGGACATCACTTCAACAGAGATCAACCAAGTCCTTCCAGCAGAAAAAGTGCAAAGAGAGAATGGGGGAGCAGAAACCCAGGAGAGCAAGATTAGAGGTGCCATGATAACAGCAAAAACATCTCAGAAAAGAAAATTGTGATTCTTCTTCCTCTGTTGGCCTGGAAACAAGCACATTCAGTCACGATTATGGTGAACATATTCTCCATCCAAAGACTGTTGGAACAAATAGTCTCACCAGGAACCTTTGTGTGCCACTTCTGAGGGTGAAATATGGTGTTGCAGATATAGTTTGAGTCCTGAAATATGAATGTCTAGAACACATCGATAGATTTGGAGTCAATGGCAAAGTAGGTTGACAAATGGCACTGTCCCAAAAACCCAAAGATATATGTTTCACTGAAGTCATATTCTCAGCATACAAGTACGATTTGATATCAGGGCAGTAGTAGGGAGAAGTGACTAATCGACTTTGAGCACTCAATCTCTCCAGGCATCAGTTTCCACAACCAAAATACAAGGGGATACGTTAGATGATTTCCAAGGTTCTTTCCTGAGATAATATTCTGTAATTCTATAATTTGTCCTCTGTGCTATAACGGTCTTGCTTCAAAAGCATAGTGTGTGCACACATATGCACAGACACGCATATACACACACAGAGTCATTCACACACTCGCAAGTGTGGCATTTGACTTCTAGTCCATTTCTATTGTGGTAAATACACACTACCCTTTTTCCTCATGCATTGGTCTTTCAATCAGAAATACACCTCTAGGTCTTTGCCCAGTGAGATAATAACATGATGTCTAAATACTCAATAAGTAACCCGAAAACACACTTGCTCAGCCCTCTGGGCTTTGGGCTGTGACAACTCTCTCTGGCTTGCATGTCAGTGTGTACCTCCACGATGAAATGACAGCAGCCAATCCCAGATCTCCCAGCTCCCAGAAGTTTAGCCAGCAGCTAAACAAAGCCACCCTCTCCACTTGCCAGCAATAGAGAAATTAATGACATCAGTAAATTAATATTCAACAGCCTACTTGTTCTTATTCAAGGTCGTTAGCTTCTCTAACCTCAGTTTCTCTAACTGTAAGTGGCCATAATAATAGGATCTATTTCATAAGACTGAAATTTGTTCCTGAGGAACAAATAAAATAATGTATATAAAACGTTGTATCTGCTATCAACTTGTCAAGCTATTAAAACAAGCCTAAGACTCCAAGAGCAGCCTTTGTCTTCAAGAACTCTTGATATTTGTGGAGTGCCTGGGTGGCTCAGTTCTTTGAGCTCTCACTGTTGACTTTAGCTCAGGTCATGGTGTCCTAGTTCATGAGTTCAAGTCCTGCTTTGGGCTCTGCATCAACAGTGCAGAGCTTACCTGGGATTCTCTCTCTCTCCCTCTCTCTCTGCCTCTCCCCCACTCTCATGTCCCCCCCGCCTCTCAAAATAAATAAATAAACTTAAAAAAAAAAAGAGCTATTGATATTTGTATCAATTTATCCTCAGACAATCAGCCACTGACTTCCCAATCTTGAATGCCCCGGTTCCACAGTTAGGTACCGTCCCACCAACTGACTGCAGAAACAGCTACAAGAGAGAAAGACAGACCTCGTCTGTTGGAACCCATGCCTACAGAGACAAGTTATTTCAGATGTCCTAGTATCCTCACAGCTAGGAGAGATATTTGCTTTTGCTGAGTGGACCAGTGATTTCTCTTCTTATAGACATAATACACTGATCAAAATGTAGACAGAGCTCTATTTAGCAGGATAATTATTGCCATTTATTTTTAATAGTAAAAAACTTGAATGCAGAAAGATTTCTAAAGAATGTGATATCGATTTTATGTGCCAAATTTGCTAGGTCATGATGCCCAGTTATTTGGTCAAACACTGGTCAAGATGTTGTTGGGAATGTATTTCTTAGATGTGATTAACATTTAAATCCGTAGACTTTGAGTAAAGCAGATTACTGTACCATAAAATACTATAATGTGGGTGGGCCACATTCAGTTGGCTGAATGCCTTAAGGGCAAAGGCCAATTTTCCTGAAGAAGAAGCAATTTTGCCCCAAGCCTGCAACTTAGAAATCCTGCAGATTTCAGATTCAAAACAGAAATATCTACTCTTCCTTGAACCTGCTCTACAGATTTTGGACTTGCCAGCCCCCACAGTCATGAGACAATTCCTTAAAAAAGAAACCCTCTGCCTCTCCCTCAATCATTTCCCACCCCCTCTCTTAAAATGGATAGATAACTAGATACATAGATACATAGATACATAGATACATAGATGATAGATAGATAGATAGATAGATAGATAATAGATAGATCACCTATCCATCCATCCTGTTGGTTCTGTTTCTCTGCAGAAGCATTACTGATAGCAGGAATGATCACTACTATAAGGTTAAAACATATGAAACTGTTGTTTTGTAGTTCAAAAAACAATTCAATATTGGCAATTTCATATAGTTTCGCTAATACACATACGCATATAGGTTCTAAAATGAAAAAAAGGTGAATAGTTGATCCCTTTGTGAGATTATGAGTGGTTGCACTTTATTCATAGTGTTTAGTCTTTCAATCATCAAAAAAGAATTCATAGTATTTTTAAATCAGAAAAATATAGTTCAATACTTGTCGCCCCCAAGTCTTTTCTTCAGCAGTGCCATAAGGCTCGAAATACGTTAAGCCATCATAAATCATTAAAGGATTCCTTTTAAACATAACTACTATGTGGTAGCCATTTTATTTATTAACACCTTAGCAAAGGCATTAACTTCCAGGAATGTGAAAGTATGTGACAGACTATTAAATATTGATGAGTGAGGAAATGGTGAAATAATATCCTAAGCAAAATGCCTTGCCTGGGGGAAAGTTATTTTAGGAATGGTACTATGGTGGAATGTTCAGGAAAGGGATATAGGGCCCACAAGGAATTCCCAAGAGGCGGCTGGGAGACTAGAAGAAGAAAGATTGGCTCCCGGAAGGAAGATAAGCCTCTGAAACCACATACGTCGCATGTTGTTTCCAACCAGCCACGCTTTGGTGGCAAAGGGAATGTGGTCCTGGTGACAGATTCCCATGAAACAAAGGCAACAGACGCTGGCTTCACTCAAACTCGTCTGGGTTGGTTTGGTTTTCTAAACAGAACCATCCCCAAGACCGATGTGTGGAAAAGACAAATATTACTTTCAACGGAGATCTTAAAAGTAAATACTTGTTGCCATTTTTGTAAGGCATTAGTGTCGTGTCAATAACAGAAAACATTTGCCTGGATTTCAAGAACACCATAACTTCTCTATAATAAGAAAACTCTTCGGGGGTTTTCCTTCTTAACGGAAACCTCCGTCCAAAGCGATGGATGTCCGTTGCTTACGATAAGAACTATAATTCTGGGAGGTTATGAAAAATGATGAACCGATTTGGCTGGAGGAGTCCTGTTTGAGGCCTGCAGGATTCCTTTTAGCAGCTGATCAGTGCCTCTCCCCGGCCCCTTTCCAACACAAGAAACCATCCATTGAAGCGCTCTTGCGTACCTGGCTGATCTAGCCTGGATGGACCACACTCGTGGCCCACCCTGGTCTTGGCCACGTGACTTGGCTTCCACCAATGAGACAGCAGCAGACGCGCACGCGTCCTGGCTCCCACTTCTGCTGCTCCACCTTCACCTTGAGATCATGCCTGGGATGCCTGCTGAAACTGAAGGCCCGGGGAGCAGAGAGGTGTCTCGGTTGCCCTGATTGAGGCCCCAGGTGAGTGAAAAAGGTGAAATAAGATCAGCAGAGCCATCTAACCACTGATAGATCAGAGATAAATGCTTATAGTTGATTCCCAACGAAACATCTATAGTTTTGTTGTTTGTAACACATCACTGCAGCTATAGAGAACCAAGACATGTAGGTAGGGTCTTATTTGTAGTCTTTATTTCACTCCTTATTTCTCACCAAAACCCACCAGTCTCGTCTAACTCCACCAAAGTCCTGCTTGATGCTGTGATTTATATAATTTTTTAAACATTTTTTTTAAGTTTACTTATTTTTTTTAAGAGAGAGACAGAATGTGAGCTGGGGAGGAGCAGAGAGAAAGAGAGAGGGACACAGAATCTGAAGCAGGCTCCAGCCTCTGAGCTGTCAGCACAGAGCCCGACGCGGGGCTCGAACTCACAAACTGCGAGATCATGACCTGAGCCGAAGTCAGAACCTTAACCGACTGAGCCACCCGGGCACCCCTATAATTTTTTTTTTTTTTTAGTGAGTTATAAGAAACAATAAAATTATGCCATTTCAGATGCTTTATTAGGAACTTTCATGGAGTCAGGAGGACAGAATTTATACATTTCCCACTTGTGATTTATCGATAAGGACAGACTGCTAGATGATAATACTTGAAAGTAACTCTGCAATACTGGGTTTGATGGGTAGGAAGGTACTCCCTCCCTGAGAAAGGCAGGAGGAGGGACTCAGTCAGCCTGTGGGGGAGAGGGTTGGGGGGTGGGTGTTGAAACAGGTGCCAGACAATCCCTGGTATCAGGGAGGCCAACCTGGAGGAGGAGGGGGAGATGTCTTGAGTTGAAAGGGCACTGGATGGTTGGCAAGATTCTAGGTGCATCCCAGGGACCAGAGACCTTGGAAAGGTTAATGGCGTTACAAAGAATGAAAACAAGGGACAAAATTGTGTTTTCCGGAGTACTTGCAGGGCAGAATCCCCAGCCCCAGCAGGGTGACAGTCAGAGACTCAGTTTTAAGGCAACGAAGAAGTAAAACTTAGCCTGACCTGGATCTTACTGGCAAGAAAACAGAAACTGAGTAATTAGAACCACTGGGCAGTCAGAGCCTGGCCAAAAAAGAGAGAAACGGGAGGATTGGGTGTCCAGCACCCAGAGTGTTAAAAGTCAGGTGACCTTCCTTTCTTTTGCCTTTGCAGGTTTGAAGCAGGAAGAAAAATGATAGAAACTGGGCTTCTTGTCCTGGGCTTGAAAAAGTAACTCAGTATGCTGGTGCGGTATTATTGGGGTAACTTTTACATAAAAAAAAAAAGTACTGATTTTAAATGTTTATCAGATTTTTTTAAGCAAAATAACAATCTACAAAGGAATTCCAGCATTTTCCAGATCGTACGTAATTCGAAGTCGTACTTACGCTGACGCAGTCTGAAGACAGTTGAAATACTCATTCAGAAAATTCAGACTCTTGAGAACCTTTAATGAATGAAAAAAGAGCTCTGTTTGGCCTACATTATTCTGGTTGACTATCTAAATTGATCAAATGCATCCATCATCACTCAACTTTATACCTCACTCTGCAGCTTGTGTACAAACAAAATCCTCCTAGTGGTTGCTCTCATTGCAGGCAATGAGCTCCAAAAACCAACCGTAGAGTCGTGCAGTCAGATCTTTCTAATTTAATACCTGCAGGCCTTCTAAAACTGCAGGCAAATTTAAATCTAAAGTTAACACATAGCTCCCGGTAGACCTCAATTACTAGACCCGTGTGCGTGTGTGTGCACGCACACGCACGCTTTTCTGCAATTTATTACAAGAAGTACATACAATGTACCTTGCATAAAATTTCCCTGAAAACTATACATCTGATTCATAATTAGTTTTCCCTCATAAACCGGGCTGTAGATTAATCTAATTACGTTGCCTACATTCGAATTTTAGCTTTTATTTGCTTCTGTTTGCTTTACTCCTAAGTCTCAAACACATTTGTCAGCTTTATCTGCTGTGGGCAGGGAACGCTAGAGGCCATCACTCAGTGGTTTAGAGCACAAGAGAAACCAAGCTGAAGCTTCCTAATGTAGATGAGAACAACAAAATCAGAGAAAGGGCCTTCTGTTCATGAGAAGACATTTATTTGAACTTCCTTAGCACTCCTGAGGTCAATATTTTTTCTAGGAAATTATAGGAAGGCTCAAGGGAAAGCTAATGCACTATGTTCTAAAGTGGACGATATGCTCCAGAGAATCATTTCTTCCTCAATTGAAGTTCCTGTAAAGGATATCTTTTCCTTAACTTTCATGTAGGCAGGCAGGTCGTATGCTGGTCACATCCCAGAAAATATCAGCGGAGCCAGGTAAATTCCACCGTTAATTAATTATACTTATTTGGTGACTCACAATACTCATATTAAAGACAAGCCGAATCAGGCCCTTCCATGGCTCTATTAACCATGCTTTTGATAAGTTCCTATGCTCCGGAAGACCTTGACTCTTATTGTTGCCCATATATCCAACGTCATGTCCTGGTCCGCTTCCTCCAGCTTGGGCCCTCTCCATTTTTGTACCCTGTGATGCCTCCCTGGACATGGATGGAATGAGCCAGACCTTTGGTCTTAACTTTTGACTGCCACCCCCTGACGTGCTATGCGTGGGCTTTTTTCTTTTCCCTTCCCCACTACTGGCTCCTGTTTTACTGCCAGCATACAATGCAGTCAATATCATTTGGGGCTGTCCGAACTCTTCACGGCAACCAAAGCTATCCTTGTCTGAAAACTAAAGCAAGATGTAGCTTGAAACAACCCTATGCCACCAAAGTCAAGTTCGGGTAGAGGGAAGAAAAGCAGGAACGACATCCCCAAATGATGGCATGATACCCAGGACAGTCAGATGTTTCTTCTGGGAGGGAGTAGAGCAACACTCCCTCCTTTTTCCTAGAAACCATGGTATATGAGGCAATGTAGGGATGAATCTGGATACCCTACAGCAGTCACTAAACGGCTCACACCTTGCAATGACTGGTGATGCCTGAAGCCCCTTGAAGGCGTCACCAATGCAGCCCGGCATCACCAACGCGTCCTGCGCAAGGCGGCACCCAGTAGGGCCTCAGTAAGCATTTGGTTACTTAGTCCTTTCCTCTAGAAGAGCCGCCATTACCAATGGACATATTCATGATTTTTCGGTTTGATTTCTTTTGTGAGTTGTTTGGAAATAAACTTTATTATTTTGTTTTTCTTATTGGAAAAGTAATATGTAGTCATTACAGTACATTTGAAAAGTATATTCATGCTAAGGTACATCCCTGTGTATTACTCACTTTGCCACTAGAGTATCATCCACAACTTGCTGTGTCATTAAATGTTCTCCTACAGCGTGGCTAGAAGCTGCATAGTATTCCGTCACTTGAGCTATCACTAGTATTTTATTCAGTTGCAAGTAGAACAGAGTATGGCTCAGAATAATGGCTTCCTATATATTTTTCAATGAATAAGTGAATTTAACAGACATTTAGTTTTTCTCCACTTTTCTCTAGTAAACATAACACTTCCGTGAACACGTTTGTGGTTGAATCCTTGTGCGCGCATGTCAGTCTTCCAGGGGATGAATGCCTGAAGGTTAAAAACGCTGGCCGAAGAGTACAAATCTGCTGGGTTTTAATCCCATCGTTCTAAAATTCTCAAGACGGCGAAGGCCCCACAACACAGAAACAATCCACATTATTCAAAGGTGACAACTGTTTCCATCCCTCTGCTTAGCCTTACAATTGGAAACAAAAAAAAAATCTAGCTTTCTCTCTTCTTTCTCCACGAGAAGAGCCTAGACCTAAGTGATTAGGGCCTATGATTACAAGGACTTTAGGCGTGACACAAAAGGGGGTCAGGAAAAATACCCTTTCGTTTGATTCACCAGGGACCAACTAGGAATAATTACAGGCTGTGCAGTACCATCCAGCCACGTAAGTGACTACATTGGACGCTAATGAGTGTTCTGTGTCCTTCCAATCTGGCCATATGGCCTGTGCTTCCTTTGAGCAAGTGCCATGAAGGATCAACTCCAGCCGCAAGGACGGTGCCATCTGATGATCCACAGGTTTCCAGGAACTGAAGAACATCACCTGCTTCATCTGCCTGCCTTCAGACAGGACGACACTTAAAATTTGCTGAACAGGGCGTATCCTGCTGTAAAACGCTTTCCTGCAAGGAATTGAAAGATGATATGCAAATCAGGTAATGGAAATGCCCCAAATATTATTGAGACCTATTTGCAAGCGTGATATTTAATTGCAAGCTTTTCCTTTCGTGCGGCACTCATGTGATTCGAAACTAAAATCCTAGACACCTGGAAATGCCATTAGCAAAGTGCTTTACAATACTGCCGTAAATCCTTGTTACCAGCAAACTCAAGTTCAAGTGTATTTCTTGTATTTCTATAGTCTTTCAGTGAATATTAGAGCCGTTCCTTAATACCATTGTTTTCTAAGCATCAGCATGACTACTGAGATTATCCACTTAAATTAGACGCGGGTTGTCAAAGAGGTTCTTTAACACACATGTAAAGTGGTCATTTTCAACTTCTGTTACTGAGACTGTACAATAGACCTACGGTTTCCAGAACCAAAGGTAATATAACACATTTCCATTCTTTCCCCACTTTTATCATGCTGCTGAGTTTTGTTTTGTTGGTTTTTTTTTTTTTTCATTACACAATGACTTGTTGACCTAGAATTTTATTTTTTTGAGTACAGAAAATCTTAACAACAAAAATAATGACTCTAAAATTACCAAACGTAATTATGGGAACTATTTGATCTTAACATGCGAGAGACACATCAAAGGATGACAGCCCAGGCTTCACAGGGTAGAGACTTCTGGGAACAATTATTTCTGTTGTTAAAAAGGGGAGGAGGGGGTGGAGGTGGAAAAAAAGGATTATCTGTTTCTCTTTCACTTAGATATCATTCATAATTGAATGTATGTATTGAAAGACAGTTTTAAATGTGCAAAACTTTATTTCTCTACGGACATTCCATCATTTAATTAATAAATTGGTTATAACAAATATGGTCTGATCGTTAAACTATCCATGGGTGCAACAAAATAACAGGGTGTTACTGAAATGCTACAAGATGGTAATTGCAGACTGCACATTTCATCTAGGGAATAGCCACATTGTCAATGGAAATGTGACCTTTATTTCCTTAAAAATGCCCTCCTTTGACCTATAAATGTGTCTTCAGACAAACCAGTTCAGAAGACAAGATACAATAAAAAGCAAACAAGATTTGCAGTGCCTGGGTGGCTCAGTCATTTAAGCATCTGACTCTTGATTTCGGCTCAGGTCAAGATCTCATAGTTTGTGAGTTCAAGCCCCACATCAGGGTCTGCACTGATAGCACAGAGCCTTCTTGGGATTCCCTCTCTCTCTCTTTCTCAAAAATAAATAAATAAACTTAAAAAAAAAAAAGAGGCAAATGAGATAATACTGGTTTCCAGATATTGTCTTCATAAACTCAGTGTGGTCAGCCACAATTTCCAGGGGAGGGTGCCAAACACTGAGTGCTCGACTAAATTGCCCAAAGTGGTGGAGAAGAATTTAAAACTGGAATCTTGGATTCCCAAACACCAGGCAATAATATTAAAATATGATTTGTAATATGAGGTCATGACCTGAACTGAAGTTGGACGCTTAACTGACTGAGCCACCCGGGCGCCCCTAAATGGGACTTACAGATATCTATGTGTAAGGACTACCAGATATCTTAAAGATATTTTCCAGGTCTGGGGTTCTTTGGTTTTGTACTGTGATATCAATTCTTTGAATAGTCATTCTACACAGCTGAATCACTGACTCTGTCTACATAGTATTTCCATTTTTCTAAAACATCGGTCCACGGTTTCAAACAATATAAAGCTCTATGGGTTACCATTATCTACTGTCACAACAAAGTTTTCATATAGCATATTATAGAGATGCAAATTAAGCCAATACAATGAATTTGAGCCACAGCGGAAGAAATCGTTCCATAGAGATAACCGAAAATACACCTCAGCAATTAGAGGTTTTGCCAGCGAATGATTTGCTTTAAGAAGAAACGGTGGAAATCATAAAACTTGATAAACTCTCCTTAAAATAGGACAGAAACATTTATTTTCCCAGAAGGGTCTTGTGGGATATTTTCTACTTAAGGGAATCATTGTCTTAAGTCTGTTTTAAATGAATTGTTTTCCCACTAATGTAGGGGAAACCAAAGACAAAAATTGACACTGGTTCTTCTGAGCCAGAGTCCATTTCCCCTTCACCACCCTCTCCCTCGCCACCGCCCCCGCCCAGGGGTGAAAGCACAGAGACAAGAAATTAGCTTCACTGTTCAGCGCTTTGTTAAGTGTTCAGTGTGTTTAAGCGTTTGTTCAGTTTGTTAAGTGTTCCTTTGTTAAGCACTGTTCAGTGCTTTGGCACATTACTAGAAATAGAAGCCTCTAGAAATAGAGGCCCTTGTTCTTTCTTGACAAACATAGTCACTACCAATAGTATTTTTCCCCAGTTACTTTTTAAGAATAGGTAACTCTTGTACACGATCACTGCTCCCTACCCCCCCTACAAAAAGGCATTTCAGGATTCATGGGTTAAAAGTACGCGGTTTTGACACTAACCAAACGTTTCACGCTCCAAACAAACTTACGAGTCAACTGAAGACCTTAAGTTGCAGCAACACAGGATGGCCTTCTGGATCTTTTGGAGACGGCTCTCTTCTCACTCTGTCTGAGAAGGAATGTGGCTTCACACCTCCCTTCCATCTCCCCTCTGATTCTCTGGATTTGGCCAACAGGGATGAGAGGGCAGGAAGCAAAGGATCAGGAAAGAGGAAGGTTAGCCCAACAATCTCTTGCACGTCGAGATTCTGATTGTGAAGCCTCTATAGACAAAGACTAAGGGTCCAGACTACAGACCAGACTGACCTCGAGTCCTGGCTTTCCACAGTAGATCTTTTCCTAACTGTGTGACCCTGGGTAAGACTTGTAATCTCTCTAAACATCAAGTTCCTTATTTGTTACAAGAAAGAAAAAAAAAAAAAAAAGAAGCAATTATAAAGCCCTCAGGGGTTTCATGAAGGGCTAAATTAAGATAGCATATGTCAACACTAGCACAGTGTTGGGCACATAAGTCATAGATATTAATGATAAAGTTACTTAAGATTACATACTGTTGGGGTACCTGGGTGGCTTAGTCGGTGAAGCATCCAGCTTCGGCTCTGGTCATGATCTCGCAGGCCGTGAGTTCAAGCGCCGTGTCGAGATCTGTGCTGACAGCTTGAAGCCTGGAGCCTTCTTCAGATTCTGTGGCTCCCTCTCTCTCTGTCCTCCCCTGCTTGTGTTCTCTCTCTCTCTCTCTCTCTCTCAAAAATAAATGAACATTGAAAAAAAATTTTTAGAGATTACATATATTCGTGAATGCTCCAGGTCATTGTGTATTTTATGCCTTTTGAATACACAACAGTGACTTCAATTAAGGAGGTTTGTCTAGAAGGGCAGTTTTTCTCAGTCAGGAATTAATGTTGAAGCCCTGCCTTGCATTAGCACTAATATCATGTCTGTATTTGTTTCCTAGGCTACAATAGCAAAGTACTACAAAATGAGTGGCTAAAAACAAATTTAATCTCTCTCCGTTCTAGAAGTTAGAAGTCTGAAATCAAGGTGTCAGATAGGCTTTACTCCCCCAAGAGTCTGGGTAGAATTCTTCCTTGTGTCTTGTAGCTTCTGGTTTGGCCAATGATCCTTGGGGTTCCTTGGCTTACAGCTGCCCTGCTCCAATCTCTGCCTCCACCCTTGACCTTCTCCTTGTGACCGTGCCTTTGTGTTTTCTCCTCTTCTCATAAAGATACCTGTCATGTGGGATCAGGGACCCACTATACTCCCCTATGACCCCATCTTAACTAATTACATCTGCAACGACCTTATTTCCAAATCAAGTCACATTCTAAAATACTGGCGTTTAGATCTTCAATATTGATTTTTGGAGGACACAATTCAACCCATAACAATATCTCCACCTGGGCCATTGTAATAGCTTCTTTCAAAGGCCTTCCTGCCCCAACCCCTGGATGTCCCCATCCCCACATACACTCTAGTCGAAACAGATCAGCAAGAGAGGGATTAACCATGTGGATTATAGCAAGTATTATGAATTCATTTTTAAGTACTCCTAATAAGCCACTGAAATTAATCAAGCTGTGTTCAGCATTTTAGGATTTTCTCTGGGTCATGCTGATGATTCAGTCATCTATCATCATATCATATTTTGATTGATTCATTTGACAATAGGCCCTCATTCTAATTTAAAGCAAATAAGATAACAAGCCCTGACCAGAACTTATACTGTGGACATCAACCTTTTGGGGACCAAATACTACCTGTAATTGGATCTTTTACTGACTCTTTGAGAATATTTGGCAAATCTGTTGTTATTTTCATATATTTGAAATTCATAAGGGGAATCAATTATCAAGTAACTGAATAAATGCCTGAAATGTTGGGACTTCCTACTTAAAATGCCATGGTATCATCTTAGAAAAAACTTCAAAAGAAAACTCTTCAGTAGTACTCTTGACTCTATAAAATGTTACTTTTATAAGAAGTAACCTAAGAAAGACCCTGTCTATGACACTACATTAACTTTCCATCAGAAAGCTTAAAATAACAGCTTCTAAAACAAGGGATGTCTTAATATTTAGTCAGGAACTTTTGTACAATGAATCCATCCAGCCCAAAATCCCCAGTGCACATCAGTTCAGATCCCAAGTGCTGACTGCCATGAACTGTGTTCTCTCCGGTCATAGTTCAAGGGTGAAGCATTCAGACTCTGCAAGAGAAAAATCTCACCGTGTGAAAAAATGCACCTCAACATCCATGGAAAGGAAGCCCACAGCCCGTTAGAGTTTCCGGTGATCTGTGCAGTAACATGTCAATGAAGCGCAAGAATTGCTTCATATTCAGTGAGTTCAAAGTTCTCCGCATCATAGCAAAACTACACCTGAAAATGTCCTCCAGAATGATGAACGAATGCCTTTCAAATTGTTTTCTCACAAGGCTCATCAATAAAGTAATTATGGAAACCGCAGTGTGGATTTTCATTCCAAGAGGCTCACACTTGGCACTTCCATGGGGGGATGGTCACTTTCATGTCTGAATAGATGTGGTCTCCCTATCCCAGAACTTTCTTGGTCACATCAGCAATACTGCCACTAAGAAGGTATAACACATTAGATGCTTAGTATGTGCTAGACAATATTCTAGGACTTGACAAGAATTCGTCATTTAATTCTTCCAACAACTTAAGAAGGTGGCTACTGTGATGATCTTCATTTTACAGACGAGTAAGCTGAGCTGTCTGAACCCAGGCATTCTGGCTCCAGAGTCTATAGACCCTTAAACATCATAGCATCTCACCTACAAGTATCATTGGCCACAGTGCTTATACTTCGACTCTATCTAATAGGCATCTCACCTTCAAAATATCTGAGAAACAGGGGCACCTGGGTGGCTCCGTCGGTTGAGTGTCTGACTTCGGTTCAGGTCATGGGCTCGCGGTCTGTGGGTTCGGGCCCCACATCTGGGTCTGTGCTGACAGCTCAGAGCCTGGAGCCTGATTCGGATTTGGTGTCTCCCTCTCTCTTTGCCCTTCCCCTGCTCTCTCTCTCTCTCTCTTTCTCTCTCTCTCAAATAAATAAACATTAAAAAAAAATTACAATATCTGAGGATCTTTTTTTTTTTTTTAATTTATCCCAACTGTTGCTTTTCCGATAATTTTTCTCATCTCTATACGTGCTGTTATCAATTCTTCCAGCTGCCCAGGCTGGAAACTTGAGAGTGACCCTCGAATGCTCTCTTTTCCTCACGTGAGACTCAACTTCCTATCAGCATCTCCCTTCTAGGTATGTTTAGGATCTAGCCACATATCCCTCACCCCCACATATCACCTCCATTCAAGTATCAGCTAGCTTTCACCTGGACCATTGCAGTAGCCTCTTCAAACGTCTCCCTGCTCCACCTACCCTGTCCCCAGCACACATATAGGCATGCATACTCTACTGTAAACGCTGCAGCTAGAGAGGCTCGTTATACGAAAATACAGAGAAAATACAGATAGTGGCCAACCTCAGCTCAAACCCAGAAGTTTCCTTCCCATTGTAATGGATGGCCAGTCTGTGCCCCCGACTGAGAGACAAACCTCCTGTTCCCTGGGTCCCATCTCCCTTCCCTCACCCAGACACTTTGCTCCTATAACTGTCCCCTGTCATAGATCGTCATTTGTCTTCCTCCCCCAGAGTCTCCCCATCAGCAAGGCTGTCCCAAGCATGTCTTTAACGACCACCATTTTTCTTGTGTCCAACATACCTTGAAAGTGCTGTGCACTGTCATTCTATTAAATACTGTCCCCAGTCACTCTCTAACTTCTGACTCTTATTTTAATGGAACATATCACTAGGTAAAATTCAATTACATAAACACTATTTATCAGCTTGTGTATTACATGGCCCCATCTCTAGATTCTAAGCTTCATGAAACAGGAACTCTTGTTCACAGCTCATCCCCGAGCATCTAGAAGGGTGACTTATATCCAGCAGACCCAGCATAAACATCTTGGAATGAATGAATGAATGAATGAATGAGTAAATGGATACTTTCCAAGTCTTTTCTTCACTATGAAGAAAATGCTTTATCTGGGATAAAGGTCTGACCAGTATCAAACATTTCTTGGGTCTTGCATATATCATTCTTATTTTGATGCATATTAGTAAGTCCTATTAGTTTATTACACATCATAATAGCAGCTATATGTACCTATCACTATTTGATATAGATGCATTATCAACCCTGAATTGTATCACTTTACTCACCCTCATGAATTATTCACTTTATGTCCGAAGAGTTGAATGCATCGTCTCCAATTTCCCCTGCAATCAATGATCAACACCATGGTTTCTTTGAACTCTCTCGGTTATTTTTTGGAAATCGCTTTAAATTCCAGCTTTAGTGTCTACATTGTTGCAAACCCTTTTGGGACATGGCTCGAAAGAAACAAATTCATGTATTTAAATCTATGTACCATCTCTTCTCAAAATCTCACTATTCTTAACCTGCCCAACCTGCTTAACAATTATATACATCTCTTAATGTGGCTTTAGGGCCCCTTTGTTCCTGAGACTACAAAAGCAATTACACTTTTAAAACGCTACTGCAAAAAACTAATCACAATAAACAGAATGAAATGTCATTCTGAATGACAGGATGGAGCTTCGGAGAACATCAGTATTCACATGGCAAACCCCGATTTGCTGAGCCCACCAACAGGTTGCACGGTTCTCCCTACAGTGTTGACAAATACAATTGCTGAGGCGGCTGGGCTGTAATAAGGAGAGCTTGAAAAGAGGTTGGGAGAAAGCTCGTAATGATAGTATTTGGAGCTTATTGCCATCCAATAAAAATAATCACCTGCTCTGCCTGCAAAGTCACAACTGACAAAGCCACGTGGCCTCATATGGCTTTACTCTGGGAAACCTTGCAGAGTGCCATCCACAGACTGGCAAGAGAGTCCTGCCTTTCTCCTGGGTTCTGGAGAGAAATGGCGTTGTGACTCCTGAGGAAAGACATGCCTGTCTGTCACGTAGGATATGTGCAAGAGCTGGTGGGAAAATATCAGGACAGCAGTGCCTTGTGTTCTGGGCAGAAGCTTCTGGGGTGTTCCTCACAGAATGAATAAAGTCTGGAGATCTGCTGTGCAACATATGCCTATAGTTGGCAATAGTGTGCTGTGCACTTAAAATTTTGAGAGGGGAGATCTCGTGTTAAGTGTTCTTATCAAACACACACAAAAAGGGACATAAGGAAACAAAAACAAACAAATAAATAACAAGTTTACACTCGAGTGAAAAGCACTGTTTCTGAACCCAGCTTCTCTCTCTGAAGAGTCCGTGACAAGACATCCCGACTAAAATGTCAGGGTGCCCATTCGTGGAGGCAGCTGGGAGAAGACCGAACCCCTAGTCAATGTGTAACTTGGAAAGGCTAGAGGGACGCCATCACAGCGCACTCCCTGGCAGGCTGGAAGATCAGGGACTCTCCTCTGTCACTCTCTTAAGGGGCCACTGAATGCCTGACGATGAATTCATGCTGCCTATGGCGCTGCACTGGCTCTCCCAGGAAGTGTTCACACAACTGAAAGTGGGAATTAGTTTACAGAACAACCTGTCTTTAACACAGACCATGTGTCAATGCACACTACTACTGCTCTGGAAGAGGAGGAAACAAGCTCACTGTTTTTCAGGCAGTGACATGACTGGGTATTCTGGCTCTTTGAACTATTCAGCAGTTAAAAATACATGTTTTCAGTGTCTCGTGCAGCAACAATGCTCCCCAGACATCAAGCATTCAGGGGATTTCTTCATCAATTCCCTCAAGACAGGAGACAGGCTCAGACATAGGGTTTAGAGCCCCCCTCCGGCCTCCCAGCATCCTCTCTCTAGGCGGCCTCATCCATCTGGTTTAAATATTGAGGTTCTGAGTATAGTGTTGTGGTTTTTTTTTTGTTTGTTTGTTTGTTTTGTTTTGTTTTTCTTTTTAACCTGAAAACATTTGTCTGGTGATGGGAGCAGGAAAAAGCAAAATCTTAGCAGTCCCCTTCTTCCTGATGGGGATGCCTCCCTTAGACACACAGAACCTTAACTACCTCAGGGAGCTCTGTGGAGATCAATATATTGAGATTCATAGACAACAGTAAGATCTTAAGCAGAAAAACACTATTGGAAATATTTATGTGATTTCCGTTACATAAGATGCTGCATTCTGTTCTTGTGCTGAGTGTTGAGTGAGAATTGAATAAAAGCAACCAGGATTCTTGGGGCCAACTGGGTCATGTAGGTCTGTAGGGAGAAGAAAGGATAACTGGGCTAAGTGCGTGTTACGTCTCTGGATTACCGGGATTCCCGTTACCTTACGAGGCAAGTGGATTCCCTGGTCAGTACTCTGGGCAGGACTCCAGCTGTACTGTCATTTTCAAGCCAAGCACTTTCAAGTTAGGTCAGCTCTTCACCGCAAGCAGAGGACTTCCAAGGCCACAGTGCCCCTTCTTGGTCCTCATCCTGGTCAATCTCCAAGGCCTAGACCCAAAGCAGAGACACGGGTCCCACTGAGGACCCCTGGCTGTGAGGCCGGGAAAGGATGTGTAGCAAAATGAGGGCCAGAGAGAAGAGCAGGTACAGCAGTAACCTGTGTAGACAGGTGAGTAGGGTACAATCAGGCTGCAACCTGGAGGCTGTAATGTGTTGTTCATAATACACATTACCTCTTCTAGGCCTCCTATATGGCATAGGTGGGATACAACCATAAAGGGCCTGGGCTACAAGCATATGTGCCCCAAATTCTCTCCTGGTGCCTACCTGTTCCCGTCTCATCCTGTCCTTGATTCCTTATAATTTAACCCACACTCATGTTTTAATCTTCATATACCCAGAGATGCCACCTGCATTTCAACCCAGCACATCTAACCTTGGTCTTAATATTCCACCTGTACTTATTTCAAATTCTTTGTCCCTTGTCTTAACCCAGGCGTCAGTAAACTTTTTCTGTAAAGGGCCAAAAAAAGGAAATGTTTTAGGCTTTGCGGGCTACACAGTCTCTTTGCCAGTAGTCAACTCCACCATTGTGGTACAAAAGCAGCCATAAATAATACGTAAAGGAATGGCCACGGCCAGAATCTTGGCCAGTACAATCTTGGCCAAGGCAGAATCTTGGCAGTGTTTTATTCTTAGTCCCACCATGTAAGGTGTCCATAGTCATGGGGGCCATGGCTTTCTCTCCAAAATTAGAAAGTGCTCAACTGGCCCATATGTCCCGAGAATATATTCGAAAAGTGATACAGGGAGAGGGGAAAGAGCAAGGTAGGAGCAAAGCAATCCAACATTCATTTCTCTAAATCCCCATGGTGTTTCGGAAAGCCCAGTGCAGTGACAGCCACTATTCTCTATGGGCACCCATGTCAAAAGAGGTTGGGCCTATGTAGATAGAAGGTCACCAGTTAAAGGAAATACTCGTTTCTGCAGTTCACACATTTACAATCTA